GATGACTCTCTATTTATAAGAAAAATCAGGGCAAAATTAATTAGCCCGAGGCTCCATCCCGGCACACCCTGGACCTTACCATAAATGTCGATCAGCACATGTATTCCACAGAGTGATAATAATTAGGCTCTAGTACGACTTAACAGGATCGACTATGGAAACTGTGATTTTTCTCATTGTGTTCATATATAAACATATATGATGTCAAAGAATCTCCCATTGCAAACCTACACCAATTTGGACGATCGTAACAAATAGAGCTCTACTTAATTTCTGAGGATCGTTTCGAGTTAGTCCTAACTCCTAACTACTAAATCCTTAATTATATGTTCCTTCTAGCTGATCATCCACCACTATCGTGACATATTAATTTAATTTTCTCCATTTATTTTTAATTACATGATCATCAAGTCTTACTCGTATGACTTATTAAGCACCTGTTTGAAACATATTCCTTCAAAATTTATTTTCAACCACACATTTTTCAATAAAATAATATTTTTATTATATCAATAACTTTTCCTTATTTTTTAACAACATATTTTCAATTATATCGTTATTTAAAATACATTCTTTTCTTAATAATATCAATCAAACACACCTTAAAATAGTTGTGTTTCTTGTTTCCTTTCCACGACAAGTAGCATCAATGGTATAAAGTTGATCCACTCGGCCTATTTTCCATCACAAAAAAATCAATCTAGATACCTCCTAGTTATAGACTTGGCTCCTCTCATTATCAACAAGTACAATTTTGTACAATCTTTGACAGCACAGAGCGCACAATACAGCTGATGCTTTCAAATGATAAAGTGAACGATTGAAATGGTGGTTGGTTCTAATTAATTAATTTTTTTTTTTCGAACCAACCAGTTCTGACCAAATAAAGCATTGCTTAAAATCACTTGTTTTGGGCCTCGAGAAGAAATGAATATCAGTACAAGATTCTAACTGCACAAAGTAATTTTGATATATAAACAAACCTAGAAGTTGCAAGGACCCCATTAGCATGACATGTTTTGAGCAAATTTTCACATGGAATGTTATTCTATGATATAAAAAAAAAAAACTTGATGCTAAAGCAAAATAGGCACGATTTAAATGCTCAACTTGAGTATTTTTTTTAAACACAATTTGGGAATTAATGGCATGTCAATATTCACATGACACTCTCTTGGAGTATGTTTGGCAAAACTTTTTTAAGATTATAAGATGATCATACATCATTTTGACCATGTATTTTATGAGACCCGCAATTTAAAATCTACAAAAACATTTACCAGACATACTTTAGTCGTCATCACTCTCATCTTGTTGATAAAAAGAACACACATTTCTTCCAATTTTCGAGTAGAATTGCATGTTTGACGATAGCATTTCATTAAGACGTATGATATTTAATACTGGATAAGATTGATGAGTATATAGGCAAAATTGAAAGAAGCTATATAATTTACTTTTTCATTGTTACAAGGGTTGGTTGAATAAGAAGAAGTGATTAAAGCTTGATTTATACACGCATAGAAGTCATGTTGCATAGAAATTTATTGCTGACAGTTGAAATAAAGCAAATAAAACAAACATTATGTTTGGTCAAAAAGTGATTAAGGTTGAGATACAAATATAAATATGAAGTGATAGCGAATTGCAACAAGAATATTAAGGTTTAGTATTGCGGATTTCTTCATTGTTTTCATTATGCCATTATTATTATGTAATTTTACGTATTAAATTCCAATTTTGACTATAACTTACTAAGAAAATTACCGATTAGAATCATTAACAAAAATGTTCAGGTGTTGTATTTCTTGAACGACAAGAGCCTCGACCCCCCCGTAATTTTCGTTAATGAATAGGCATCTTTCGATCGGCATGCCTAATTTTTTTTGAAGTTTTAGAAAATATGCACTTCCTCTTTTAATAATCCACATCTTAATTAGCCAACTATAAACTTAATTTTCCAATCCCAAAACTATCACTTCCTCTTTTAATAATCCACATTTTAAAAAGTGATTTGATCAGAAATATTTACGAGGAGAATTTTTATATATTAACATATAACATAAAATAAAAATTTTGACGCATTTTATGATACATCGTCACGTGTTGTTGACGTCAATTTTTGATTGATAACATGATCAATAGATTTTGACTCTACTCATATTCACGCGTAAGACTCTTGTACACTTGGACAAACTATTGAAGCATGTGACCTCCTTTGATGGTGGGTGAAGCGAATGCGAAGAGTTCGACAATCAAATTAGCTAACTTGTGTGTGTGTATCAAGGTGTGGGATGAACGAAAGACACGAGTCATAAGTATATATATGGGCACCGCGTTATATAGAGAAAATAAGTGATATTATGAGTGTAAAATTACATTACTTTCAAATGATACTAAATATGAACTTATATAGAATGAGAAGCGATACTAACTGTGAACTTGTATACTAAGTCACATCAATTAATCACAATAGATCTTATATGGAAGATCTATTTGAGGGGTTAAAAGAGGAAAATGCCTTCGTGTGTTTGAAGCTTCTTTACTTCGAATTAATAGTAATGGAGCAGGTTGTGACTTCTCGCCTCAACTATTGAGAGTTCGCCCTCTATGATGTTTCAACGGATGTGGTGTATCACTTCAACTACCATTTTATCTCAAATAGGCTAGTAGGATAGTGATAGAGAATGTGTACTTGAGTTTGTTTGCTAATTGGCTATAATGTGGTCGATGCTTAAAGTTTCATGAGATAAAACATAACATGTGTTTTGTGAGATGTCCAAAATTCGAAATGAAGTTCTAAAGTGAGATTCACGATCAACTCTAAATTTATTAAAAGTGAATTTTAAATTAATCTACGAATAATTTATGTAGACACCAATAATTGATAAATAAACATATAATCACTAATTAGACCATTTCTATTGGTTGGGTGTAGGTAGACCGGTTGTAGATGATAGTTATGGAGAGTTTTAAGACATGAAACGCTGGACACTCCGAAAAAGCTCACTGAAGTCACTTCTTTTCAACTCCCGAGGTCTATCTCCCTAAATCAAGTACATATTAGCCACTGGTGACAGCTGCTATTATACGCCACTGAAGTGTACAATAAGCGCCTAGCAACTTCCACCATTGAAGGAAGATCCCGATCCTGTCCCCCAACCCACCGCACTATCTATACATACACTTTTCCCATATCTATACACGCCTTTTCCAATGTTCAATGCAATTAAATGATCAATCTGTTATTCTTTATTCGGGTCGAATCGGAGTCCTATTCGGGCTGCACAGATGGATCCTCAGGGGGCAATGATGAATGAAGGTGAACGGTTGTATAACTTTGCAGAGATTTGGCCCGGGTTCCAGATTAATGCCAATGAAAAGCGGTCTTACAATTTGCCAGGAATTAATCCGGGTTTGGATCCGAATCCGATGGTTATGGAGCAGAGATCGGATCATAGTCCGAGTCCGAAATCGAGGACGCAAAGGGATGAAGATACTGAGCGAG